CAGGTATCGGTATTTCATTTCTTTTTATGGATGAATAGTACTCCATTGTATGGACAGACCTCATTTTGCTTATCCATTTATCAGTTAATGGACATTTGGGAGGTTTTTTACTACATTTTTCTTTAAACATTATTTTTTGAGAATTATTTATCTTTATTTATTTATTTGCTGCACCAGAAAGACACATATACAGGGAGAGAGTAAGAAAGCAAGCCTCCAGGTCTGGGACTTGAACCCTGGTTTACCATGTGGGAGTCCAGTGCCTTAACCACTATGCCACCCGCCAGCCCCTGTTTTCACTACTTTCCCATGCCCCCCCCCCCGCCCCGTGTTTCCCTCTTTTTTTTTTTTTTTGGAGAGGTTTTTGCTATAGGGTACGTGTGCTCACCAGACAGACAGAGACAGACAGAACGAGAAATCACCCCTCGAGGGGGATGGCCACGCTGCAATCCCTTCTCCTCCATTCTCTCGGGATCATGGGCACGCACGCACACGCACCCGGCATGAGTTTAAGCCACCGGGTCCGGGACTCGAACCGCAGTCGACTACGTGGGAGTCCAGTGACACAGCCGTTACACTAACTGCTGGTCCCACTACATTTTAAAAAATCACAAGCAGTATGAATTGGCTTTCTCCCTTTGGCCAAGACTATATAATTAGACATATTCATGAAATTCGTTCTCTGGAACAGGTGATTTGAATTTTTTTTTGGTCTTTGGGTTGCATTTTATAATTTCCTCTTTTGTTCCAGATCTGCTTTCCTATTTATACAACATACTTATCTTGAATCATTCCATTAGATAACTCTGCCATAATTTATTTAACCAAGCTCCTATTGTAAATCATTTAGCTGCTTCTAATTTTATCTTCGTCTTCTAAAAACTTCTGTGGAGAAAAATCTTACGTACCTCTGTAATTATTTTTCGAGGATAGTCTTAAACTTCAGGCTTTTGCTGCATGCTGCCAGATGCCTTCCAGCATGCCATGCCAATTTTCAGTCCCACCAGCTTGACGTGGGCCCGGAGGATAAATAGGGCTTCCCTGCAGGGGAAACAGGGAGGAGCCCTGCACCCTAGGACTTGAGTCACGCAGGAGGGTCCGTCACGAGAATCGGAACTGGGAACGGAGATGGCGAAGCATAGGCAGAGCAGACGGACCCCCGCCTCAGGCCCCACACACCCAGAGTTGGCATTCCTATGGGGGAAGGCCAAGATTGGACAAGTTAAACATGACCTGGCAGGTGTGTTTTGCAGGTACATTTGGCAGCAGATAGCAAGAGCCTTAAATGTTTCATAATTTTTCTTCAGGAAGAAATGATGGGTATAGATAAGGCTTTTGTCTATGAAGGATATTGTCAGCCAGTCAGTGAATGGTGTGAGAAACCCCAAGTAGAGAAGGAGGCTGGGGCGCAGTCTCAGTCAGGGGCCTCGGGGAAGCCTCGCTGAGAGGAGCACGTTTGAGCAAGGACTTGAGGTGGTGAGGGAGAGGCCTGGCAGGGTGGCGAGCATTCCAAGCAGAGGGAGCACCCTGTGCAGAATCTCTTCTGCTTAATGTAGAAAGAAAGGCCCCCTGTACTGGAGGAGGGCCCGTGACCCACCCTGCAGTGGCGCTGCTCGAAGACACAGAATGGAGTGAAAAGGGCAATGCAGGGAACATTCCACGCTCCCATTCATGTTTGCAAAGCTGAGAAAGGGAAAGTGAAAGACCTGCGTGTTAGAGCCCGGGTCGCTGCTTACGGAGGAAAAGAGGTTTTTGTTTTTGACATTTTTAGAGTGAAAATGTTTTATTTGTGTAATTTAAAACTTTCAAAGACCAAAGCTAGTCTCATTTGAACAAAAATATAAATAATATTAGTTTTCATGTATAACCCACAGAATCAAATAAATACTGCTGGGTCCGTAACTGTGCACGTAATGGATGAGTGATTGGCAGAGAAGAGACAGCTCTTTCCTACATCAGCGTTCTAGTGGATTCTAGGAGGAAAGAGAGAAATAGAAAGTCACCATTACGCCAACTCCATAATAATGTCTGTTATCAGAGAGCTCCAGCCAGGCAGGCTGCTGTTAATCAGCCAGTCCGGGGGGAAATGTTTGAGGGGCAGCAGGCTCTTTGTCTAATCTTGGGTATCTTCTCCAAAATACGTATTAATTATAAAGAAAGAAACAGCAGCTTTAAAGGGGAAAACCCTGCAGCTGGTCCCTTCGTTGGGGATCGGACATCGTATGACCCCGTGGACACACCGAGGGCCCAGCACTTCCACGTCAGTCCTCAGAGATGCATGACTTCAGCCGCCTCCTGCGAACACGTGAGACAGACCACATGCAGTGATATTCTAGCAAGTAACGGACCAGCACTTCCAAAGTGTCAAGTTCAGGAATGACACAGGGGGGGCCAGCAGATGGTGTAATAGCTATGTCGCTAGACTCCCATGTGGTCGGCTGCGGTTCAAGTCCCGGACCCAGTGGCTTAAACTCACACCGGGTGCACGTGCGTGCATGCCCAAGATCCCGAGAGGAGAATGGGGGAGAAGGGATTACGGCGTGGCCATCCCCCCTGAGGAGTGATTTCTCGCTTTCTGTCTCTCTGTCTCTCTGTCTGTCTGGTGTGTGCATGTGCCCTATAGCAGAAACCTCTCCAAAAACAAAACAAACAAAAGGATGACACAGAAAGACTGAGGCGCTCACACAGATTGGAAGAGTCTGAGGAGACAGGACAACTAAGCGCTGTGTGGACCGGAACAGAAAGGACAGGCGTGGACAGCCTGGTGGCACTGGGACTAGGTGCCGAGTGCAGTTAACGGGGGTGTCCCGATGTTACCGTCCCAGTCTGATCACTGAACTGGGCACGGGCAGTGTGAAATAGGGGCAGCTGGGTGAAGGGCAGACAGAAAATCCTTTACTCTTTTTACAGCTTTTCTATACATCTGCAATTATTTCAAAGTAGAAGTATTCTTAGTTGGGGAGAGTATATATAAAGTCTGGATCCGAGGTGTGAAACCGAGGGCTGACGGGGTTGCATGGCACGCTCTAAACCACACGATTAAATATCAGAAGTCTGGAATTTTCTCTGGAGAGTCACTGCCCTGAGCACTGGTGCCACCTGCTTCCCGTTCCTGTCCCCTCCTTGGTGCCGTGACTGTGGCCAGCTCCTGGCCCGGGGCTCAGGTTGGAATAGGGTTCTGGTCCAGAGTCTCTTGGCTCTTTAAGGAAATTTAATTTGATGCCAAAAGAAAAAGGTTGGAATTTTGAAGTTATTCTGTAAAAATGGAAAGAATCAATAGTTACTGCCAGATAGATTCTTGCCTGCCATGGGTCACCCATCACCCCCCAGGGGGGATGGCCACGCCACAATCCCTTCTCCTCCATTCTCCTTTCGGGATCTTGGGCACACATGCACCCGGCGTGAGTTTAAGCCACCGGGTCTGGGACTCAAACCGTGGTTGACTACATGGGAGTCCAGCGACATAGCTATTACACCAACTGCTGGTCCTTCCCCAAAGTCAGTTTTTAACCCCGTTATCGGGGTTGTACCTGCCATACAATTCACCCGACTGAAAGCATCCGATTCAGTGAGTTCTGTTTTCACAGAGCTCGGTAACCTCCACCCGGTCCATTTGGGGAAGTCATTGGTGCCCTACAAAGAATGTCAGCCATCACCTCACCCACCTCCTCCAGGCCCAGGCACCCTCCAGCCTGCTTCCTGTCCCTGTAGATTGACCTTCTCTGGACATCCCTAGGTGTGGAGTCGCAGTACGTGGTCTTCGTGGTGGCCTTCTTTCCTGGGCGCAGTGTTTACAGTTCACCGTGCTGCAGGATGTATCGCTGCTTCGTTCTTTACTGCCAAAGAGCAGGTCGTTGTACGGTGGCCCAGGTCTTCACATCCGTTCACCACTGGCTTCCGGGTTGTTTCTTCTTTTCGCTATGGTAGATAATGCTTCTGCGAACAAGTTTTTGTGTGGACACGTGTTTTTATTTTTCTTGGATGTATACCTAGGAGTGAACTTGCTGAGTCACTGTTTACCCTTTTTTTAAAGTATTTATTTTGAGCCAGCGGCGGCATGGTGGTTAAGGTGCTAGATTCTCACCTGGCCGACCACAGTTCAATTCCCAGACTCATCGGCTTGAAAATCACACCATAAGCGTGTGCGTGCATGCCCAAAGTCCTGAGAGAATAGGGGAGAAGGGATTATGGCATGGTCATGCCCCCTGGGGGTGATTTCCCACTTTTCCTCATTGTCTCCATTTCCAGTGAGTGCACACACTCTTATGCCGAAAATCTAAAAAAGAAAAGAAAAAAAAAAAAAGAGAGAGAGAATTTGCTTATTTCTTCCACAGAGGGAGAGGCACCCCCACCAGGGGCTTTGCGCTGCAGTCCAGCCTCAACCAGCCCAGACCAAGGGGATATGCGCCCCTTCCCCACCCCCAGCGTGTACAGGGAGGTCTGGAGATGTGAACCCAGCACCTTCTCACATGAGCCCAGCATCACAGAGTATGGCGTTGCCGCTGCGCCACCATCTGGCCCATGTTTAGCCTTTCGGGAGACCTGGCAGACTCTGTTCCAAGTGTCACACGTTCCCACCGGCATGAGTGTTTCGTCTCTCCACATCCCCCCAACACTTGCTGCGTCTTATCTGACCAGCCTGGTGGGCCTGAAGTGGTATCTCACTGCGGTTTCGATTTCGCTCACTCTGACGGCTAAGGATGTTGCGTGTCTCAGAGTCATTTGTAACATCGTTGTCCTCGGGCCACAACCCCTTTGGAGCTTCCCCAGAGGAGTCCGGCACCCGTGCTCCTCCCTGAGAGCTCCCTGGGCTGACAGCCTACAACGTGGGTACTGTCCCAGGAGCCTTAGGGTGAGACCTGGCGTCCTCAGGCTCCAGAGCCACGTTCCTTCTCAAAAGCCCACACCACCGTGGCAGGGGCTGGAGAGGCCCGTATGTCCTTGCTTGTTGGAAGGAGCCCAGTGTCTCACCTGATGCCTCGTTTCTCTTCCTCCCCCAGGCGGTCCAGATGGTTCCTGTGACCCCAGCTTCAGTAGTGGCGTCAGTGTCTTCACTCCAGCCAGGTGAGTGGTTTGTCCAGCCAGAGGTGTTTTTGGAGAGATGCAGCCTAGATCCATTTGCATGCAGGTACTTGCTGCGAAGACGCAGGGCAGACTCTACTTTGGGGCACCCGCGTGCACACAGGAGGTGTTGGATGAGGGGATCTGAAGGGCGTTAGGCAAGCCCAGCCCGTGGCTCTCATGGACAGATAGTGCTGCAGCTCAGTAACCACAAGTAAGCACAGCTAACTCACGGTGACCTCAGGGCCTTGCAGCCTCCTTCCCCGAGCACCTTCTGCTTGTCCGGGATAAGGTGGAGCCAGGCCGACCCACGGGAGCATAGACAGTAACCGTGTCTGAGTGCGGCTGGACCGGCCCAGGAGCCCTCTTCTGTGCGCCCAGGTCAGTTGTAATAGCACGGCCTTCCACGTGGGGGCAGTGCAGGCCAAGCAGAGAACTGGTCCTGCCCTGGCCGGCTTTCTCCATACTCCCTGCAGGGTGATGGGTGTCCCCTGGGAGGGGAACTGTCGCAGTCCATCCCCTGGACTTGCCTCGTGTCACTCTTCCTTTGGATAGCATTGGCACCCATGGGGCTGGGATGGATCACGGCTCTCTTGTGGGGGTTTCTTCCCTCTGACTGTGATGTTACCTGGGCTCTGGGGGAGCTAGTCGTTCATGAGGAGAGCACGTGTGCTCACTCCAGCAGGCTGCTCCCCCGACCCCAGGGGCGTCCTCCTTTTACACCATCCATGGTTCATCCTGCCCTCTGAGGGCTCCGGCTCTGGTTTGCAGGTGCAACCTCAGGCACCTCTCCCACGGCAGCCGAGCAGGTCAGGAAATGTCAGCCAGTCCCTCGTTGTCGGTTAGGTGTCATCCGATTCCAGAACACTTGCCTCTGTTCAGCCCTCCATGAGTAAGAGATGACCCCTGGCTGTCCTTGACCTTGAGGTCTCGGGGGAGGCAGAGAGAGCCCACCAGTGCATCACCAGGAAGGGCAGTTATGCTAAGCCGAGGCTTGCTGAGGTGACAGCCGACCACGGCGAGCACCCAGCCAGCGCTCCCGAGCCCTGTGCCGGATACTTCGTGTCAGGGCGGGGAGTTGCTTACGATTGAGTCCCATGGGTCGGTGGTCGTGTCTCCGTTGTAGGGATAAGGAAGGTGGAAGGCCGCTGTGTAGAGTGGGTTTCAGAGGAGCTCAGGTGGGCGCAGACCAGCCGGGGACCAGCAGCCATCGGTAGGGCAGGAGGGAGACCCAGACTGAGGAGGTGGCAGTGTGGAGCGAGGTGGAGGGATCTGAGCTGTCGGGAGGTGGGACTGGCAGGATCTGCTGGAGGGTGAGGGTTGGCACAGTCAGAGAGAAGTGAAGGAAAGGATAACTTCGAGACGTTGGGCTTGAGCCAAACTCAGAAAATCCTGGTATGTTTCTAAGCTGGGCCGGGTGGAAAAGCAACTATGAGCTGGGCAGGTGAACCTTCCCCGGTGGCCCTGAGCACTCGGGCAGGGACAGAGGCAGGCCTGGGTACTAGGTTACGGAATGGGAAAAGATTGGACAAAGGACAGGAGACCAGCAGGTCCTAAAAGGGTCCAGCTTTTGTCACAGAGGAGGTGGGGCCATTGTTAATAGTTAGGGGTGACAGGGATGGCCAAAAAGCCCATTGTGGATTTGTCCCTATGACCTCGGCTACTGGGATCGTCACACTCTGCAGGAGTGGCGGCCGGGGTGGGGGGACTCGGGGGCCTCGGAGGGGCAGAGAGAGGCGGTGTGACGACGGTGCAGGCATTTCTCTCCGAGCCTCGGTTGGGCAGGCCTAGTAGTCCCTGCACCTCAGCCAGGAGCCACCCGCTGGAGCCGGGCTGCGGCGCTGCTGGTCCTTCAGGACTCAGTGCTGAGTCCACCCCTTGTCAGATGAAGAGCCAGCAAGAGCAGGCTACCCAGTGCTTCCTGGCTCCTGTGAGCGGCCGCGTCCTCAGCGCAGCTGCGCAGTCTGAGTCACGAGCTGGCTGCAGACGACGGCGGCCTTGATGGTTGGGAAACCGGAGCCCGGGCGCCTGTGCCCGGCCACACCACTGCTTCCTCCACTTGGTGCTGCCAAAGGGAGGCCGAGCTTGGCACGACAGCATCGTCCGGGGTCCCCAAAACCCAGAACTCGCCCTGCAGTTTTCCAGGTGCATCGCTTGCCCAGGGCACCATCCACAGTGGCCAGTTTCACTCAGATCTGACCAGCCATGGGCAGCGGGGACTCCTCTGATGGCAGAAGGGCATTTCCACCTGGCACAAACCTGCCAGCCGTGGGGGCAGGCCTGAGCCTCTTCAAAGCCATTGGCCCTCGGAGAGTCAAATGAAGCCACAGACCCCCTTCCCAGGAAGACACATCCGTGCTGAATTCCAAATCCACTTCTAGTGGTTCCAGTCTCCTCAAAGGCAGGCCTTGCACCCCAGACTTGAAAAAATTTATCCGTAGACCAGGACACAGGAGAATTGACTGACCGAGCTCAGGAGTACAAGCCCCATCTCCTTCCCTCACGTCCTTCTTTCCCGTGCTTGGAAAGCCCCAGGTGGCCCAGCTGTGGCCCCAGGGCAGAGCCAGCTGGAAAAGCAGGGGTGCCCCAGCACCACAGATCTGGGCTGCTAGTTCGTAGAGAAGTATAAAAAAAATCCGTCATGCCTTTCCCGACAACCTGCTAGATTCCTGGGCAGGGCTGGGGCGGGGGTAGTAGAAGAAGAAACCAGGAGTGCTCGACGTAGAAGAAAGGCAAGTCTGCGAAGAGTCGTCTCCGAACCTGAAGTTGCTCACGGCTGAGGAAAGGGTTAAGAGCACGGTCTCCGCCCTGTCCTACGGTACCGTCCTCATCACCCAGGGCCGCTCCTACAGGGGAGCCAGTGGCTGGGTCAGGTCCCGACTCCACCGCGCCTGGTGATGCCGGGGGCAAGTAGCTTCACTTCTTCGTGCCTCAGTTTCCTCCGGGGGCTGGGGGGTTAACTAAGTTACAAAAGGGCTCTGGGATCAGTGCTGCGGCGTGGGCAACCTTCCACCTGACACCAGGGCCAGGCCGAGGGTCACGGTGTCATGAGTGCCAGTCGGAACACTCACAGGTGTAGATGCTGCCCTGCACGTGAGCCAGCAGAGCGCTCTAGAAATCATTGCCTCCCAGCTCTTAGCCCCTGCCGACTAAAGAAATGGATAATGATCTGACTTTACCAAAAAAAAAAAAAAAAAGGCAACTTAGAATTCAGAAACCAGTCTAATTTTAGATTTACCTCTCTCCTAATTTGATTAGGGATGTAGCATGAGTATCACAGAGAGTCAGACGTTGCAGAAATGAAATGCTGGCTCCTCGAGAGAATGACTGGAACTTATTATTATTTATTGGTGGATCAGAAACATCGTTCAGTAAATCCATACTTTAATAGCCACAGCAGCACCGCCTATCTGGAAACTGTAGTACATCTACATGTAAGACGCTCGTTATAAGATGCTTTATGAGAAAATGCGTGGTGAAAATGGGGTATTGCAGACACCTTAAAATAACTCAGGAGCCCCCATGAGTGAGCCGTCTAGACTTTTTGGAACCGATGCAGAAATGTGTTTTACACTGTGCGCGAGCTCCCTCCTGTTCTTGATGGCCGATGGAAGCCAGGGTGGAGGGTGCCACATTCCAGGCTCCAGCCCCAAAGCGGCAGCTGAGCACGCATGCAGCATGCCCTGCAGAAGGCCCCAGCTCGCCCACCAGGCATGCGCGGAGCTTGGCGGCAGCAGCCGGCCCCACCCAGCAGAAGCAGCGCGAGCTCTCTGCCGCTGAGAGCAGGTGGGCCGTGACCTTCCCTTCCCGGGCGCTAAGATCATTCCCCCGCTGCCCTGGGTACTCCCCCATCTGTGACCTTCATCTCCAGCCAGCCAGGGGGAGAGAGACTGGCAGGGGTGTCTCCAGCTGAGGGGATGAGTTCTCGGTGCATGGCCTTGTGGCCTCGAACGCCCCACACAGTCTCTGGGCCTGGGTCCTCTCATCTGTACCTCAAAGGACTGGGTCGTGAGGTCCTGCTCGGCTTGACGGTCTTGATTGATTGAAGCTGAGCCCAGCTCCCCAGCAGCCTGGAGACCCACGTCTGGGAGGTCTGCGCTGGTCCGCCTCTGCGGGGGGCGTGCAGAGAGCCTTGGCCCACAGAACGCCGCAGCTCACACGCGCCTCCGTGAAATCCTTCCTTCCTGTGACTGTGACGCGGCGCTGCTCAAGGAGATGCCACCTGAGTGGCCAGAGCGTCTCGGGGCTGCTGTCAGGCACAGTCCAGCTTGTGGCAGGACCGTCCATCCTGGCAGCTTTGGAGCATGCCCCACACAGGTCAGCACTGGGCTCCTAGGTGTCCTCCTCCTCCCCATGGAGTCTTTGCCCTGTGAACCTCCTCTCCCACTGACACCCGGCCTGTGGATCTGCCCCGGCCAGAGGGACCGGTCCACACTGGGCCACTGCTCGGCTGCTGCAGCCAGGACCCAGTGAAATGATGTCACCACAGGCTCCCCCAAGTCTTCTGCCTGGTGGGAGACCATCCCAGAAACAGACAGATCCGAAATGCCAGCTCCTCTGCTTCCTGGCCGTGTGGTCTTGGACGGCCACGGGATGTCTGCTTCAGCTCCCTGGTCTCCACAGTGGAAATGACACAAGTCGCAGGCGTGTGAGGGCATCACTTGAGGCTCAGCAGAGATTGTGGCCGTCATCTTCTCTACCGTCATGGGGATGTCATCAGAGCTGTCATTGCCCCTGAGGTTCTTCACCCACTGGGCCTGCACTGCGGGTGGGGCAGGGCGCTGGCGTGGCACTGCGTAGTCCCTACCAGCTGCTCCGGGGCAAGGCCGTTGCTAGGCCAGTGCAGCCCTGGGTCTCCCAGGCAGGTGAAAACAAGGCCGTCCTCCCAGGGGACTGTTGGAGCTGAGAATGTGGCAGCGGCTTGCAGAGAGTGCGTGTGACACCCTGGGCCCCATGCGGCAGCTTGAACAACCAGCAGCTCCTGCTATAAAGGGACTCACTGTGGACGCTGGGGTCGCAGGGTTAGGATAGAACAGGCTGGAGCGGGATGGCTTCTGTCCATTCACGGGATCCCACGAGCAGGATCCCACATGGCCAGCTGCTCACCACAAGTCCTGGACTTGTGCATTTTGTGTCCCCCAAAAATATTAAAAATAAAGCGATGTACTGGTAATCCTTATGCAGGTTTCCTGGTATTGATCATAGTGTTCATACACTGAAGTGCTGATACTGTGGATGTGTTCGCAGCTGTCATTAAGCTTCTGCTGCTCTCAGCCTTTTTTTTTCTTTTTTACATTTGTGCCATAGGGTGCATGCTCTCGCCAGAGAGAGACCTACACAGAAAGAGGGAAAAAGAAATCCTCCCTACCTAGGAGGGATGGCCACACCACAGTCCCTTCTCCACTCTCCTCTCGGGGCTCTGGGCGCACACGTGCACACCCCAGGCGAGCTTTTCAAGCTCTGGGTCCAGGACTGGAACCGTGGGTGGCTACAAGGAAGTCCAGAACCTTAACCACCACGCCCTTTTCATTTACAACTAGAACATGCCACATTGCGCGCCTGGCTCACATATCCCTGATGGACTGACAGCTCACATTCACTGCCCTGGACGCGTCCATCTGAGCTCTTCTTTCCCGCCTAACTTGGGGTAGCAGAGAATTTAGACATTCAGTTTCCTTAGAAAATACCAGGAGCTTTCTTGGGACTAAGCAGATGGCGTAATGGTTACATTGCTCAACTCCCGTCAGGTTGACCACGGTTCAAGTCCTGGACCCAGTGCCTTAAAACTCCCCAGGCGCATGTGTGTGCGTACCCAGAATCCTGAGAGGAGATGAGAAGGGATTGCGGCGTGGCCATGCCCCCGAGGGTGATTTCTCACTTTCTTTCTCTGTCTCAGGCAAGCGCGTGTGCCCTATAGCAACAATCTCTCTTAAGGAGAAAAAAGGAAATACCAGGAGCTGCCAGCCATGTGACTCCCGGGGAAACTGCAGTGCCCCCCGCCCCGTCCACTTGTGGCAAATACAGTGACGCGTCTGTAGGAAGGGAGCCCCTCGCTGACACCCTACTATCTTCTGTCCTTGCTGTTCCCACCCTGGCAATGCCCGCCTCGCCGGGCAGCAGCAGGCACACTGGGCAGAGCTGAGCTGACTCCGTCTCCTGGTGGCACCCAGCCACTGCAGGCTGCTTGGCCCCTCCTGTCTCTGGGACCAGGGGGCTTCCTGCGCTGCCGGGGACAGGAGCAGACTCCGAGCAGTCTGCTTCTTGCAGGCAGAGGCCCCGTTACCTCTTCCTCACCGCGAAAGAGCCCGTGTCGGCTTCAGAGGCCACCGCTGAGGCTTCTCTACTGGCCACATCATACGCTTAGGGCCCCGGAGGCCAGCAAGGTGACCAGCCACGACTCCCGGCCTCACCTGAGGAGCACTCCTGGGTCACCCGGAGGAGGGCCTGTTGGAGGTCGGGTGGCGTTGTCAGGGCCGCCCCCAGACTGCCTGGACTCGGTGGCTCTGCTGTATCAACGAAGCGTCTGAGCTCATTGCTGAGGCCCGGGGGGGGCTCGTCTCCACCCGGGCAGGGCAGACGAGTGAGGAACAGGCGGGGGAGTGAGGCCGGCAGTCCCGCCCTCCTCCCCAGATGTGGTGATCGAAGCTCCAACAAGCAGCCAACGTCAGACTCCTCGGGAAAGGAGGAGGGAGGCAGAGGGAAAGGAGCAGGCCCCGCTTCGAACCCCCAAGCCAGGCTGGACCAGGGTGGTGAGAGACATCCCTGTGACACACATGGCGTGTGCCATCTGCTCAGGCCTGGCCACCAAGCACCTGGGCTGGAAGTGTGTGTTTCAGAGCGTGCAGGCCACAGGTGGTGTCGTGACTTGGTGACCGAGAGTGACAGGGGGTGTCAGCCTGGCTCTCCCTCTGTCTTGCCCACAGCTCTGAAAGAGCCCCTGTGACCCTTCACCTCGACGGGATCGTGCAGGTCCTGAACTGCCACCTCAGCGACATGGCCATCGGGATGATGACCAGGATTGCCGTTCTGAAGTGGCTCTACCACCTCTACATCAAGACGCCCCGGAAGGTGAGCCCCAACCTGACCTCCCAGCAGGCCCCTCCAAGCCAGGGGGCCGCTCCAGGATCGGGCTTGGTTCCCAGGGCCCTGGAGTTTCAGCCATTGCAGGGTTCAGCTGTTGCAGTTTCAGGGGCGGGGGGAATCCTGGTGAGCACAGGGGTGGCAGTGGCTCTGAGGAGCTCTGACCACCCCTGAGGGGGTGGTCTGTGCAGACCAGAGCAGCGCCGCACCGAACCCAGTTCTGGAGGTTGGCGGGAGCTCATGGGTGCCCGCTTTTCTGCCCTCCAGATGTTCCGGCACACTGACAGCCTCTTCCCCATCCTGCTGCAGACGTTATCAGACGAATCCGACGAGGTAAGTCGCTGACCGCCCTTCCATGCAGAGCCCTGGCTGCCCGGCCTGTTTTAGGGATGTGCGGGGTTCGCACCACTGCGGGGGCGTGCCCTGTTGTCACCGTGCTGTTCATCAGCACAGGAACTGCCCGTTCTCCATACCTGGGACGGCACATCCTTCCTAGGGAACACTCGCCGCTTTGGGGACGAGGACCCTTGTAGAGACGTTTCTGGAGCGTCTGGGACAGGGCGTCCACGAGGGTCCGCGTCTGCACAGGAATTTGCATGTCTTCCCGGAAAGTAGTCAAGAGAGTGGGGGAGCATAGCTTTGGCCTGGCTCTGCTCCGCTGCGCAGCATCTGTCTCTGTTTGGTGGGGGTGGCCGTGTGTCTGGGGCGCGGAACCAGTGATCCATGGGAAGTACTCAGTGCCATGCCAGGTGCGTGCTGGGTGCCTGCTCGTTAGCGTTACCGGCTTCTGGTTCAGCCGGACTCCATCTCCACCTCCAGGTCAAAGCTGTCCCCTTAGCTTTGCTTTGCTGGAGTCTCCAGGAGCTGCCGGTGCCCAATGGCAGGCAGCAGGAGTAACCCTCTCAGAGGACCAGGGCCGGGGCAGGGCAGGCCCACATCCTCCTGTCTGCTCCTTCATCCCTGCCCTCTGCCCCGGGCTCCCTGCCTGCCAGCTGAGGGGCAGGGTCTACAGCTGGGCATGCCCACTTGCAGGGCAGTGCCCCTTTCTTCCGTCCCACCAGCTCCTCAAACTGCATGTGCTGGTGGCCTGAGCCTTGCCTCACCCTCTCCCTCCTCTACTCTGTGGCAAGATGGGCTTCTGAATCCACAGACAGTCCATACTGCCCAGTGGGGCCGTGAAAACCAGCAGGGGCTGGGAATGGGGGAAAGGGAGCAGGGCCTTGCTCACAGTTCTGTGAGAGGCTGGATACGTCTGGGTTCTGATTCCGTGAGGAACCCCATCTTCCTACAGCTGGTCCCAGGCCTGTGTGGAGACCCAGGCAGCTTGTTCTGTCACATGGATTTGCTTTCCCAAAACTGGGTTGGAGAATCGGACACGCAAGTATCAGCCTGTAGGTCCCCTAGGTTCTCTGCACTTTGAGAAAAATACAGAACAGATGGTCTGTGAATGTGCCCTGGCCCCTCCTGCCCGCACCCCCCATGCACGCACAGGCACACGCAAACACACACACACACACACACACACACACACACACCCCGTCCTCTCCTGCACCACCCCCTGCTGTGCGAGGCCCAGGTGGACGTGGCCCAGTTCCGCCTGTGAGTGGGGAGTGACTCACTGCATGTCAGGGCCCTCATTTCAATACAAAAAGGAAAAGAGAACTTGGCTGATTGGCCCTGTCCCTAGGACTGCAGTGGAAGCAGCTGAGTTTTCAGTCTTTTAAATGGAACTGTTTAATCCCATCCAGCTTCCCGCGTGCGTGTGCAGTGAGCGCGGAGGAGATGCAGTCCATTAAGCAGCTCCGCGTAGGTTGCGGCTGTGGAAACTCCATTTGCTGAGTGCCCAATGTTGTCAGGCTCCGGGGCGCATCTCGTGGGCCTCGGGAGGGGAGAGGATTGAAGTGGCTCTTGGGGACAGTTGGAGACAGTGGGAGGTGGGGTTTCTGCTGTAACAGGAGTCCCTGCTTCTTCAGCTCCAGAGGAGGGCTTTGGGGACCGTGCTCATCGGGTGAGTCCCGATTGTGCTACATCCTGGATCTTCACCAGAATCACGTCCCTGCTCAGTCTGCTTAGTGACCTTGGGGGCATACTGTGAACTGAACTTGACTAGGGGACTGCAACCACGTACCCAATGATGCTGGTCTCCTGGGACCTCCTTGCAGGGGTCTCTAGAAAGTGCTCTGCTGGGCTTTACCAAGTATTTGCAAACACAGCCCTGATCCCAACTAAAGCTCTCCTCGGTTCAAGACCGTGAAAGCCGGACTGGGATGCCTTCCTGTGGAAGGCCTCGATGGCGGGCTTTAACCTCGAGGCTCCCCACGGAAGGTTCCTGTGCCCTGCCTGGGGGCTTCTCAGACAGGTCATCGTCGTGGGTGACCTTGCACGTGTGGAGCCGTCGCTGTGCAAGGAGCTGCGCCAGACCCGTTGCTTACTTGTCAGGACACTCACAGCCCTTCCCTGAGGGGTTCTGTCATTTCCGCCTCAGAGTCACAGAAGTTAAGGCCGGAGCGCACAGCTAGGCACGGGAGCCCAGACTAAAACCCAGATCTCTGTGGCCCCAGAGCCCGTCCCCTTAGTGGCTAACTGCCATGCCTGTGTTTCAGCCAGTGTAGCCCCAGCACCACGTCAGAACCAGGAGACAGAGGAAGGTGGTGGTGGGGAGGGGGTGTCTACTAGGGGCTTGTGTTTAGTGTGTCGCTGTCCCCATTTCCTCACGAATGCACCGAGCAAACGTTTGCTAGCCTTTTTCCCCAAGCCGGAAGTTCTTGAGGACAGCTCTCGGCCTTGTGTCGGAGATGAGTTGGCTTTCGTTTGTTTATTGTTGTTGCTGTTGTCTGTAGTTTTTGCTCTAAGGCACATGCGTTCACCAGATAGAGAAACTCACCCTCTAGAGGGGATGGCCACACCGCAGTCCCTTCTCCAGTCTCCGCTCAAGATTTTGGGCATGTACCGGGCCTGGCATGATTTTCAAGTCACCAGGCCTGGGACTCGAACCACTCTGCCAGTCATGTGGGGTCCAGCACCTTAATCTCCTTATCACCTGCTGGCCGAGAGGTGTATATTTTCAAAAAGCTCTCCTTTCAGCCCCCAGCTCCTCGGTCCAATTTTCTTACTGATTTGTGCAGGCTCTTTGTATGTTTGGCGTGTTCAGCCCTGTTATCCGTGTGGCAAGCGTCTTCCCCCCGCCCCGCCCCGCCCCGTGCAGTTGCGATAAACCCACATGGGCCTCACTTAGATGATTAGATGAGAGCCACTGGCCTCAGGGGGACGGGGTATACTCAGGTGTTAACGGTGCAGGGGCTGGGCCTCCGTGCTCCACAGTCCCCTGGTCACGTGGCCTGGCTGGGCCCTCTTCTCTGCTGTTGATCCCCAGTCTGACCCATGTGACAGCTCAGGAGCCCACACCCCCGAGCGTCTTTGTATGTCTCTGCTTCTCGTCATTCGGGATAAGTGGCCTGCTTCTTGCAGACATTATCTGAAAATTCCTTTTGTCAGAGGAATTCGCAGGTGTCAGATTAATATTCTTGGAGTAGCAACCCTGTCATTAGCTAGAGAGCCGACGACAACTTGTTTTCTTAAGTGAAGATGAGACCCCGATTTCCATGACTGGATTGCAGGGAGCACGCTCAGTTTCCCCTGGCCCCCTTGGGGAGGTGGGATTGCTGCTTCCCTTGCCCAAAGGTGTCATGTCTGCCACCTCCAGTGCTGGCAGCTGCCACACTGCCTGGAGGCCCCTCTGTGAGCATCCTGGGACTGGCCTCCTTTGTGTGCATGACTGGGGCTGGCAGGGAGGGGGCTCGGTGATCCCCCACTTCAAGTACAACTGTCCCCCAGCCTGCATCTAAATTTCCCAGGGTGATCTTGGTCTCAGGAGAGGCCTGGAAGGATGTCCATTCCGCCCTGAGTGCGTGTGGATGCCCCAGACAGTGACCCTCAGACCTAGGCTTGAGGCCTAGCCCAGGCTCTTCCTCACAAGGACCTTGGTCAAGAGTTTAACCTCCCTGGGGACCAGCAGTTAGCGTAATGGCTATGTCGCTGGACTCCCACGTAGTAGACCACGGTTCGAGTACCGGACCCGGTGGCTTAAAACTCACGCTGGGCGCGTGTGCGTGCGTACCCAGGATCCCGAGAGGAGAATGGAGGAGAAGGGATTGCGGCGTGGCCCTCACCCCTGGGGGGTGATTTCTCACTTTCTGTCTCTCTGTCTCTCTGTCTGGCAAGCACACGCGCCCTATAGCAAAAACATCTCCAAAAAAAAGAAAAAAAAAAGAAGAGTTTAACCTCCCTGGACCCGAGAAATGGGGCTGCCTCACAGGCTTGTTGGAAGAGGAGGTGTAGAGCACCCCGCAACATCCTTCACTACCGTTGGTTCAGGGGGAACTGGCCTTGCTGTCATGTTGAACTGTCCCACACGGGGCATTTCAGTGCCCTTCAGTGAAGCTCTTAAGGTCTTTTTCCCAGGTCTGACTCACTCACTATGGGACTGGATTTTCATTGTGGCTTTGAATGGCATCCCTTCCGTAAGACTCTCTCCCCACGTGGCAGAGTGCCCGCAGTGAGGAGCTCAGGCCTTGGGGTCAGGCAGTCCAGTAGTCCAGTCTGGCTCTGCCACCCGATGGCCAGTTGGCCAATCAAGTGCTAGCCTCTCTGTGCCGATTTGCTCATCCGTAAACAGACGTGAGATGGGCACCGCCCTCCCAGGGTTGCGGAAGGCGTAGAGAAGCCTCGGAGTGTCCGGTGCCCATCACAGGACCCTGCGCTCCTCTGCTGCTGGAATGGCTCTGTGAAAGGCCTGGAGACACACGTGGAGGCTGGGGGCTGGGCTCTGTGTACGCCCCGAGTCCTCCCACCTCCACCTCCACAGCAAAAGCAGGGCACAGGCTGCTCGTCGGGCCTGTCTTTAGAGGCCTGAGCACCACAGGGGTGTTCAAAGGACTCTGGTTCCATCTGCAGGTCATAGAAAGCCCAGCAGAGGACAGAGTGGGCAGCAGGACCAGCATCGCTCTGTGCACCGTCTCCCCTTCCCGGCCCCTTGCCCTAAGCCTCCTCAGCTGCTCTGGGTTGGAGCTGCCCAGCACAGAGCAACGCTGTGTTCAGCACCAACCTGGCTCATCAGAACCCCATCTTCAGCATGTTTGCCCATCACTCCCAACTGGCAGGCAGAGGGGCCCTGCTGACTGCCCGGTCGAGGGAGTGGAGAAATGGCACAGTGGGCATGACCCTATTTCAGGGCCTCAGGCCTCAGCCTCGAGCTCAGAAGGAAAACCTCTGCGATACAGATGGCTGCAGGCCTGTCTTTGTCTTTCGTGTGAGTTTTCTCTGTGGTGGGGCCC